CAAAGTTAGTTACACTGCTAAATGTTTAGCGGAACTGTTTCTGTTGTAGGTATCATTTACTTTCCGGAATTCTGTTACTTCAAAACGACTGGATAAACTTTCAAACAACTCCCTAGATATTCTAAAATGCTTTTTAAACTGTACATCAGAATATTTGGGAACTACATCCTCAAAGTATTTATCGATGCAAATTCTTTTATCTTTTTTACTTAAAAGTAAAAATACATTTTCTTCATCATCGCTGTCCAATTCTTCAAAAATCATATCATTGTCTTCACTTTCGGTGTCAGACTCTAATAGGGTCACTACAGGCAACATTTCCTTTTTTGATTTATTCATCTTGATTCTTTGATCAATAATAAATTATTCAACTATCTACAGAAATAATAAAGATTACATAACCTATAACTGTCATAATAATCCGTTTTACCAAACACCTAAAATTGTTACACTTATGCACTTTGAAAATGTGTTGAAAACTGAGAGTTGTCAACTGCACTACACTTGCTACACTAGGAGTATTTATAGCAAGTGTACCAAACACAGCTATTGATCGATAAACGACCTAGTGAAACAAATAAGATCCGACAATACTGTTGTCCACGCTGACGACATCTTAATTGTTGCGAAATCAACCGAAGAACACGACAAAACGTTGAGAAATGTTTTGAAAACTTTGAAAGAAAAAGGATTGACCTTAAACAAAAACAAATGCGAAATCATGACTAAGGAAACAACATACCTAGGATATTTGGTGGACGAAAATGGAATCCGAACACAATCGAAATGTGTAAAAGCTATAAAAGAATATCCAAATCCGAAAACGACGACCGAAGTAAGAAAATTTTTAAGAATGGTTAACTACATAATACTAAATGTAGCAGAAAAAACAACATCAATACGTGAATTACTGAAGAATGGTAGACAATTTTCATGGAACGGACAACACGAAAAAGATTTCAAAAACCTGAAAGATGAAATAGCATCTCCTAAAGTGTTAGCTAGATTTTCAATCAAGAAAAAGACAAGAGTCTCAGCTGATGCGTCATCATATGGCTTGGGTGCGGTGCTTGAACAGGAGCAGTCCAAGGACGTGTGGCAACCCTTATACTTTTGTTCGAAATCACTGAACGACACGGGAAAGAAATACGCACAAATAGAGAAAGCAGCTTTCGCAGTAACATGGGCGTGTGAGAAATTAGAACAGCATCAACTGGGTGCTAAATTCCAAATTCGAACGGACCACAAACCACTAACCGTACTCTTGGCAACAAACGAAATTAACAAACTATCAAACCGCTTATAACGGTTCAGGATGAGATTGTCTAAGTTTAAGAGGCCTCGATACCGCCATTTTATGTTGGCAGCACTGTGTATTCGTATACGTAAGATTGTAGAGTTAATATATGTATTTAATTTATGGAATTTGGTGTATGACCCTAAAATAGTTTAATAATATACGGTACAGTGTGATATTTAATAAATAAATTTAAATAACGTAAGTGAAAAAATAATAATACAAATATAAAATACGGCATTGTACCGATCCTTGGAATAACTCAATGATTGCAATTATATGAAACAATTTAATAAATAAAAGTGAAATTATGTGTATTTTTACATGAACAATTACTTTTATGAGGTACTGGAATGTGGCGCCCCCGTTTGCGAGAAAGCGAATTATTTAGTAATTAATGTTGTAGGCAGCCAAAATTGCCGTGGAATTATTCTATATATATTATTGTAACATTGTCAGTAATATTACTTAGTATTTAGTATTAACCTATAATTTGCAGACATGGATAATCGTAACCTTACCGTAGGTACGCGCAGAAAAAGTATAAAGCAAAGAATGAATCGTTGTAGGTAAGAGATAGCGTGAATGTTGTGTTTTATAAGTATAATAAATTATGAAATTATTTCGTTAGGAGGATGACGAAGACAAGAATTTCAGAAACCTTGAATTGTGCAGGGTAAGTGTAAACATGTAGTTAGCATCCATGTATATAAATAAAACAAACGGCAGAATGCCATTTTATTTTAGATTTTTTCCGATAATTCTACACAGTTTGGGTTGTAACAGTAAATAGATATTGATATTAAATAGATATAGATATTGCATGCAATTATTTTACATTTTCAATATGTGATAATATCTAATATAAACATCTAGATTAGAGGATGTTATTGCACATGAAGAAGATATAGGTATACATACTGATTGGTAACTTTAATTTTAGGAGATACACCCAACACGGACGTACGTATAAGTATACTTGTGTGTGTGCATATGCGCGCGGAGTATATTTGTGGGAGGGGAATCGCAAGAGTAGTGGATCGGAGAGCAGTCAGTCGTTTGACATCGTTCAATGATAAGAAATATTATAAAAATAATAACTAATATAATAAATGAAATTCAAATAAGACAAAGCAAATTCTTAATTCTAAAAATAAAAACAATTCGTAAGTAACTGAAATAAACTTTGTAAAACAACAAATAAAACAAAAAACTATAAAAATAAAATATTTTTTATATTAGGTGTTCAAATAAACCACCATTCTGTGCTAAACAATAGCCCAATCTATCGTAAAAAGTTCGCCTTACATTCGCTAGTATATCGGGACTAATATCCTGTATACAATTGCGAATTTTTGTTTGTAAGTCATCCAGATTGGTTGTCCTTTCTTCATCAAAACCATAAATTTTCGATTTTAAATATCCCCATAGAAAAAAATCATTGGGGGCTAAATCTGGTGATCTAGGCGGCCAAGTTAACGTTCCGCAAATAGATATTACACGATTTGGAAATTGTGCGTTAAGATACTCTTTAACTTGCCGGCTGTTGTGAGCCGGGCAACCATCTTGTTGGAACCAGATACTTCCAAATTGAACATTGTCTAATTGTTGAAGCGATGGGATTACGTCATTTTGCAAAATGTTTAAATACTTATGACCATTTAAATTTCCTTCTATGAAAAAAGGACCGATAATATGGTCACCTACTAAGCCAGCCCAAACATTTAATTTTTGGGGATATTGTGTACGAGCCGCATAAACTTTGTGTTCATTGTCACGACTCCAATATCGAGCAACGCTGGGATTATGCCGACCATGCAAAGGAAATGTAGATTCATCGGTAAATAAAATGTTTTTTATAAAATCAACATTTCCGTTGGCCATTTCCATCATAGTAAAGCAAAATTCCGCCCTTGTAATATTATCGTTCTCGCAGAGTTCCTGACTTTTTTGTACCTTGTACGACCTGTACCCGTGTTTCTTTAATGTTTTTAGGACGGCAACATGGCTGATAGCAAACGTCTCCGCAACTTGTCTGCTTGACTGATTTTTATTGCGTTCAACATCAGCACATATCATCGTATCACGTAACTCATCTCTTTTACCCCTTCGTAATTTGTGTTTCTGTGGAGACACACATCCATGTCGCTCAAAGTTTTTAATAATATTTGAAATTGTTCCGCGACTAGGAATTGATCTGTTTTCATAGGCCACAGGAAACAAATTAATTATTTGGGCTACAGAATTGCCACCATAAAACCATTTTATAATCTGTACCTTTTCCGCTACAGTAAACAACATCTTAGTTTTTTTTTGCTAGGGTTAACTGCAAAGCGATGCGACCAACTTCGCCTCTCAACAATCTATGAACGATTCAATTTGTGCATTACCCCTACGCTTGTTTATCCCCCACTTAACGACACCGAATATACACACACACGTATACTTATACGTACGTCCGTGTTGGGTGTATCTCCTACAATTAAAGTTACCAATCGGTAAAGTATATTTATTTGTAACTCTATATTAATTAATCGTACAATAAAATATTAAAAATTAAAATAGAGTATTTGATAGACTGTTTTATGTGTGTCTACCAGTTTATTTATTATTTTATGACTATAACAAAATCGCCATGGGAAAATACATTATGTTGATATAACAACCCATGGTGATATAACCACGGTGTGTTTACTTATACAGTATAAAAATTAAAGCGATTTTTAGTAGGTAACTCCAACCGGGAGATGGCGTTACAAGTCCCATTTGCTGTAGTGCGCATGCGCGTCTTCACGTCAACAGACAAGCAACAACAAACTTAACAAACATTCTCCATTACTGTTTTGGTGCGAATTGCGATCGGTACGTAGTTATCTCGTTGTTAATACCTTTTGTTGTACTTTTTACGGACGTTTAGTGTTTAGTGTTATATTTTGGTTTACCTAATTTTTATTTTAAACATACTATTTTAGAAAGGTAATAAATAATGATATGATAAGTTAACAATGATTTCAATAACATTTAAGCTTTTAGATGTCATTACTTATGTGTTTTATTTTTGCAGCTTATTGCCGACGTTTGTCCAATATATCACAAACCGGAAATGGAAATCTATTACAAACAATAAGAATGTTAAAGCGACAAACTGTGGCTCTACGGAATAGAAATTTTACTTTGAAGGAACGCGTACAAAAAGCAAAAAAAATGCTAAAAAATAATCCTTTGCATTGCTTCCATAACATGAACCCAATAGCATTAAATTTTTGCAAGTCGCAACTAAAGTTGTCAATGTACAAAAAAAAAGGGCGGCGATGTTCTATTCAGGATAAATTGTTCGCATTATCATTGTATAAATATTCTGGTAGTTACTTTCTGTTACCGATTTCTCAGTACATTTTTCTGTTTGCCTTCAAGAAGCACAATTACAAAACTGCTTCAAAACATATATGTAAAACCAGGGCTCAATACAGTTATTTTTGACAATTTATCTTCCACCGTCAAAAAGATGAAGGATGTAGAACGAGTTTGCATATTGATGTTTGACGAAGTTTTTTTGGATGCGAACATTTGCTACAATTCCAAACTTGATGCCGTTGTTGGATTAGAGGACGTTGGGGACAGGAAAACAACTAAAATTGCAGACCGGGCGCTGGTTTTTATGATTCAAGGAGTTATCAAAAAATAGAAACAGCCAGTCGCATATATGTTTTCAAGTGGCGGCGTCAACAGCAGCACACTTTCAAAACTAATAAAAGATGTTATACTACAATTAGATAGTTGTGGATTAGACATTATTGGGACGGTGTGTGACCAAGGAGCAGCTAATCAGGGTGCTATGAAAATTTTGATATCTTCGTCACCAACTGAGTATGCAGCATGCACATTTACAGTGAATAATAAAAGTAGGATTGTGCTCTATGATCCACCACACTTACTCAAAGGTATTAGAAACCAATTGTTAAAAAAAAACTTAATATGGAAGACAGACAATGAAAAATTAACAGCATCATGGAGCCATATAAAAAATGCCTACTACATTGATGTATGTAGTGGGGACCTCCGAGCTCTCCGCAAAATCACGGAAGAGCACATCACGGAGGAAAAGATGAAGAAGATGAAGGTGGCCCATTGCGCTCAAGTACTTAGCCATACAATGGCAGCTACTATCTCCATGATGGCGCGAAATAGTAAGTTAATACTATAAATAAATTATTTACTATACATTACACTGTATTTTTTTACCAACTTGCAGATGAAATAAGTAGCGATGGTACCGTAACAATGCCAAAAGAGGCCATCGCTACCGATAAAATTCTAAAATTTTTCGATAATCTGTTTGATTCTGTTAATGGGTCCCTAAGAATAAACTCAGAAGGGAAACCACTTAAAATGGTGGCAAAATCAACAAGCGACCACCGCAACTTTTGGATTGGTATATTAAAATGAAAATTGTAATATCAAACTTGATAAATTTTTTTTTAGACAGTATAAAACACCTGGGGAACATGTGGTTTGAAGACCACATTAAAAAAACCAGATCAATACCGCCCTCATTGAAGAACTGGGTTACTACATTGAAGGGAATGTTATCAATATTATGTTATGTGGAGAGGAAGAAATTGCCCTTTTTTATTCCACGGCAAATAAACCAGGATCCCTTAGAAAATATGTTTGGGCAAATAAGACAAATGAGAGGTCGAAACATTAATCCCACCTGCCAAGGGTTTGGAGACGCATTTAAATCACTTCTTGTGAGAAAAATGTTGTCTCCTCATTTGGCAGGTGGAAATTGCGAAGAAGATAATTCAAAAAATTTGTTAAAGCCAACGGTTTTTTTAAATAAATGCAGGGGGA